CATATATTAAGGCTTTATCTAGAGCTGGCGCGAGATACTGCCTGCTGCAGTCTCTACGGGTCCTAAATTCTGCTACAAAGCACTTTCTTAAGTTCTAAATTTTCACCACGCCTAAACTTTGGATCCCAGTGCTTTCCCTAAATCATAAAAACTTCTCATCCCTAAATTTTGCCGCTTGGTGCTTCCCCAAATTCCAAAAATTTTGTCTTCCCTAAATTCTAGGTTTATGGTGAATAACATATCAGTTATTCTTAATTAAAATAGCACTGAATGTAATGTTTTGGCATTTTTAGCATATGAAAAGAAATTTTTCCTGAATTTTTCCTCGTCAATATTTCTTAGAGCATTGAAAAATCTATAATCATCGCCAAGCATAATGTTAAAATAAAAGGTTGCCATACTCTTGTTATTCAATTACTAATATAAAAAAAAGTTTAAACATCACGGCATGAGTTATTATTGAAGCTATTGATAAACATGCGGTACTGAAGCAAAATATAATAAATAATGACTCTCGAGGTCGGCGTCAGGGATATAAAATAAGTTAATGTTTTGGTTTGAGATGTATGCCATGAAGATACTCAGCTATGGAACCAAATTATTAATCTCACAAATTTATGTGCTTACATGACTTTTTTCCATAACGAGGTATTTTATTTAGTGCCTAAGTGAAATTAAGAATAGGAATTTTTACTAATATAAAAAAAAAAAAGTGAAAATCTCCACATGTTTTATTATGGAAGGAAAAATCAAATGTGCATGCATAAAGCATTAATAAAAAAATGTTTGTGGCTTTGAGGTCCGGATTTTAGATCATTCCGGCTAATGGATGTCCGGATTTCGGACTTTGTACACTGCATCAATCTTAGTTTTTTGGTTTACATTATATTTTTTTACACAATATGGTTAATGAAATGACATCTATTGCTTAAAATATATTCTGAACCAGTGGAAACATTCTGTCATCAGGACTCTAGAATCTAGCTTCTAATGAAGTAGTAGCTATTATGTTGATCACTTCACTATTGGGTATAGACATTATTTACATACAGGCCTTAAGTTTTAATCATAAAATATTGTAGCACCTTCTATAAAACTATTATTCATTTTTTCATGTATAAGAAGAAATTCAGCATATATAATTAAAATTTTAATTAATATAATTTTAAAAACTTTTAAAGAAAATTTTAAAATCTGAAGGTTTGGCAATACAGTGCATTGCCTTATGAATACTCTTCTGGGGTGGATATCCTGCATAATCAAAAAGTGTTGACAATTTAAAAATCTAAAGGATCAAGTTAAAACAGAAGTTCTACCAGCAACAAAATATACTTGAGCTGCTTTTCACACATTGAATGGCATAAAAAATTTTCAAAAAACATTCACTGCATATTAAGAAATCATAATCTTTATCACATTATGTTCAAATGAAGAGCATATAGAGCAATATGACACAACCATATCATAATGATAATATGATTAATCTATAACAAAATCTCATTTTTTCTATGAAAAGAAACCTGAAGAAAATAATATCATTAGAAAGGTTTTGCATCAATCACTTATTAATATTAATTATATCACAGAAAACATCTTATTGTTTAATAATTAATTAAATATATTTTAATTTGTTTAAGAATTAATAATATAATATAGCTTCCAATATATTCTAGCATAAGAAACAATAATCATTTTGTAACAATCATGGATATTAAATTTTGATTCTTGCATGATATAAATACTATGAGTACTATTTAGAATTTTGTTTATGGTAGCACCAATTATTAATTTTTTAAAGCAAGATCCTTTTTCATTAACTTTGAATTCATTCTTAACTTACTTTCTATTTAAATTATACCTAGGTATTTAATATTAATTTTTCTTTTTATTTCTCAATCATCATCCATTGGACTAAAATCTCTCTTTTTTTTTTTTTTTTTTTTTTTTTTTTTCTTTACCTACACACTGAAATTTTACAAGTGCTTCTATTAAATACTGTAGAAGGCCTCCAGAAAAATAGTTATATTTGATGTAAATAGTTTGTTGTTATTACAGGCTTTATTCAGTTTGATTTGTCTTTTTACCTGCTGATTAATTTATTTACACACATCAATGATATCAATTTTTGACACCTTTTCAACATGCTGATTTTCTTTTTGTACACATATGCATTTATTTACCATCACAAAACAACATTCCACAATGACTGTTTTAAATTTTGGTACAGGTCTTTTTAAAATAAGTATTGAATTTTTCCTACATATCCTTGCTTAATGATCATCCCAATACTATTCTAAACTTAAAAACATCAAATAGACTGGAAAATAATGTTTCAAATAAAGTTAATTAATTTAATTTAAGTCATTTAGAATGTTTAATATAAGTTACTGAATTTTGGCAGTTTGTTAAATGTACTAAAATATAACAAAAACTTTTCTTAATTATTGAAACATTCTTAGAAACTATATAAAATCATAAATACTCATATAAGAATTTTGGGATATTAACAAAATAATTTTCCAATATTCCTATATGGACAACAGTTAAGTATATTGCAATAATAACAAGAATTTCAAAGAAAAAGCATGTTCAAGAATAATTGTATTCTGTTCAGTTACATTTTTCTTAGTATTTTCTGAGTATCTGCATCCCTATAAAAAGTCAGCAAATCATTGCTGACTTTATGACAAATATATGTTTAGATATTTTTATAGCTAATACGTACTATTCTGTTCATAAATAATGCTAAAAAGAAGCATTTTATAAAGTTCACAGCCCCATTACAATTAGTTCTGACCCAAAAAGTGCTCTTGAAAACACTGATCAGTAAAACACTTACTAAATATAATGCATGTAAATTCTTATGTACACACATGTGTGGTACAGGCATACATGAGTTAGCTACTGTCACGTGTATATAAGAAAATATGCCTGATTCTACTGAGTGTCTGATTCTATTGAGTATGATAATCAATCAGTATCTTCTTTAAGCATTTTGATTTACAGTATGTTCTTATTAACAGTCTTACAAATAAAATTAAATAAAACCATACAACTTAAAAAGGTTTTCTTTTTACATATACTTTAAACTTAAATATTTTATTATTCAGGAAGTATAATATTAAGCTTTCATGGAGGCTAGAAACATCAGTGCATGACAAGTTGTATGCCTTCAACCTTTTGCAAGTAATTTAGTGAGTCGGATAAAAAATTAGTAAGCATACATGAAACAGGAATTTTTAAAAATTGTGTTTTTCAATTTGGTGCTTTATTTATCATAAATGGTCTTGCTTTCCTCTGCCTTGAGATTCTACATTTATCCAGAATTCACAAGGTTGCATTTCATCAAAGATGTTAAATTTCCAAGCTGGTAACATTGCTCTCTGATGTGATATTCACAGCATATGTTGCTTATATTTATGTTTTAAATGAACTGCTAAATGCTGAACTGATTTGTGAGATTCTCAGAAATTATTTCAAGAGTAGCAAAGCATTCGGCTTTTGATATTTAGAGTTTTAATAATTTAACACTGAGTTTTAAAGCATAAAACAAAGCAATAGTATGCATCCCAAACTCTTATTTCTGTGAGAGATTAAAGTAAAGTAAGTTATTGCACAATTACTTACTCCAATCACAAAATAGCTAAGTTCTCTGCAGTGTATGTGTAAATAAAATAAACAGAGTAAGATGATAGTTTGAGCCCAGTTGCAAACTATTACTATTATTATTGTTGCAGAAGTGTTTGCTTCAATAATATATGTATCGCAAATATGTTATTTGATTTTTAATACATATAAACAGCTCATTGCTTAATAATCAAGGATACAGCATTTCACTGTTTAATAATTTCTCTCCTCTTTGATAACTTCCTTGACATTTTATTTTTATTACATTTCATTGTACTGGTAGAATTAAAACTGTATTAAGAATTAAATGACATGGGACATCATAAGTGAGAATCATTTGTGACTATTTATAAACCACTGAGAAGCTATACTGAATATGGGTTCCCCATAATTTATTCATTAGAAGTTATGATCTAATGAATAAATTACTAAAATCTTTTTATGTATGGAAAAAAAAAAAAGGCTTCTCTAGTGGACAAAGGCAGATTTATGGGGGCCACTTGATAAACTGGCTCTGATGATTGGATTGGAAAGATATTGTGCAACAGATAAGTTTTTCATTATAGATGTTTACAGATTTGATTTCAATAACTGAACTGACTAGTCAAAAAACTAAAATGAAACTACCAGGAATAATTTAGTAGAAAAGGTGCAATCCTGTTTCAAAATAACACCAACATGACTCTTCAACATTTATTCAATAAAAGATCCATGGATTAGGAATTGAAATGCTGACTTGTCTGGTTTATACTGAAGATATTGTGCTAGCAGACTTTTCTGATTATTGTAGCACTTACTAAAAGACATTTGCAAAAACAGATAAGATTAACTCGGCAATGGATTCATATTTTGCCAAAAACAGCTGGTAAAATTCTTTGCTGATGAAATATCAATTAACTAATAGATAATAATAATAATAATATCAATTATATTATTAAGACACAATAACATGCCGAACAAATGCCAATTCGAAAATCGAACAACAAAAATCAACGTTATATTTTCAAATTTTCACAGGACTAGTTTCGATGGTTTTACCAACCATCATCCTCAGCTGCAAAAGCGTAAATGGATTGAAGAAACAAATGGATTGCATTGCGCTTTTGCAGCTGAGGATGATGGTTCGGTAAAACCATCGAAACTAGTCCTGTGAAAATTTGAAAATATAACACTGATTTTTGTTGTTTGACTTCTGAATTAGTATCAATTATATTGTTAAATAATATCAATTAGCATTAAAATAAATTAAATTTGAAATTTGCTAATAATGCTGTTGGTTTCTTTTCAGCATCCCTCTCAGAAAAGAGAGCACTATTATAACTAAAGAACCATACATTAATTTTTAATTATGCTTTAAACTACAGTCAACTTACTCTTTCTCACATAATAATTGCTCTTCTGTCATATCTGCATGTATCATGCTTTCAGCAAATGCAGCTAATGGCCTCTTCATCTTAGAATTAATTGTACTGAACTGTTTGTCATCAGGTTTATTAATCTGCAAAAGCGAAAATGAAAAATTAATAATGAATATATGAATAATTATAATCAAATTATATGAGTGTAAAAAGTACATTAAACTTATTAATGCACAATCTAAAGGTTTGCAACTAAATATAAAATCCTCATTAAAATAGAAAAAGTGCTAAGCAATGTTCTCATTTTTAATGCATTTTGTCTTAAAATACACTTGAAAACTGCTCATATAATACTGATACATATAATGCTCATACATTATGGACAGCAATGTAAGTCTCTATATAAAATATCAGACCAAATGTAGGACAAGCTCACTTATTCAATAATCATATAATTTTTAAGGAATTTTACAGGAAAAGAAATGGGTTTCTACATAAGATACCTTACATACAAGTATAAATTAATATGTGATATGTTGAAACAGACTCCTCTATTATTAGGACTGGATTTAGAAATTTATGTATGTATATATTTGGCTATATGTGTGCATATATATATTCTTACGTTCAAACATACATGCATGCATGAACATATACATCCATACATACATTTCTGAATACAGTCCCAATAAAAAAAAGAGCACGGACAAAACTTTTGATTAAAAAGATAAATGCTCTGCATAATGCACCGTGAAGGAAAACAAAATAAGTATGTTCTTTCTCAAAGCAAAAGTTAAAAAATATATGACCTTAACATAGTTTTTTAAATGTTAGGCCACACATATAAAATGGATATAGCTTTCCAAAGGAAATGTTACAAATAAGGATCACCCTCTTATATTTGATTCACTATGGTATTTAAGATTTGTGCATAAATATATATACAATATACTCTTTTTTTCACATATCAGTTAATGTTTATATACTTAGAAAGATTACTGTGAAAGTGATACATATACAAAAATTCATAACTAATTAACTAACTAACTAACTAAAAAATTCATAAGTAGGAATTTAGGTTAAAGGAATCTAGATCATATTTAGGATAACTGTGTATGATTTATTTACCTCAGGAATAAGGAATTAAAATGAATCAAATTTTGTCAAGAGCTGAATATAATAGATTACACTGAAACAGACTGCAATAATTATCTTCAACAGTGGCATAGCTAAGGTATAAGCAATGGTAGATATCTGTCCCTGGGGGTGCAGCATCCAGGAGGTGGTAAACTGAAAAATTTTTAATGAAATGTTTTCCCTTCTCAGCAAAGAGGTGGATGTGTGAAATCTTTATTTGTCCCTGGGTGCTGAAGACCCTAGCTATGAATATAATATTTAAACAAACAAAGACTGGAATAATTATCTTCACTGTTACAATGGAAAATGAAAAATATTTGTGTAACTAGGTATACTACTGAAGTCAATGACAGTTCATTTAACTAACAGGACATTAGCCAGATTGCTTCAGTATAATATTAAAGAGAATCATCAGTATCATTTCATTTAATACGCATACAATCTGATTACTGCTCAACTATAATTTTTTTCCCTTAAATTTAATGAGAAAAATTATTTTCATTTCATTTTTTTTTATTTCATTTTATTTTAATAGAAGAGGAAAGTCTTTTCAAGCAAGAAACTAAATTAATTACGAAATTTTCAACAAAATAAAATTAAAAGTTAAAAACAATTTTTTTTTTAAACTTTGAAACAACTATACAATTCTAAATTAAAATTAATTTTTTTTAATTCTAAAGGCTGAAGATAATTAATTGTCAATTATATTAATCAATTAAAATAAAACATGTTTTGCAGAAACGCACAGTCACGAAAACAAAAAATAAAATTAATAAATTTAACAATAAGTAAGTACTATTAACTTTTTTCTCCGATTAGTCCGATAAGCTTTATTAGAAAAATTTTGAAACTAACATATATTACTTCTGAACGTTTCGTGTCCTTCTTTCCAAAATCGATTTTTGTAGCATATATTTTAGATACAATAACAGTAATTACCACAATAATTACACTTAAAATCAGCGTTAAAATATAATGCTCTAAAACACTGAAATTCAAATGATCTAATTCTGGAAGCATTTTATATGCTATTAATTTACTTAACGAAATCACATTGATTTCTGTGTTAGATCCCTCTAACTTGCGTTTCACAAATTCTTTCTCAACATTACGTATTTCAGTTTATTTCTCATCCACACACACACGTTATATATGGCAAGTCTACTTCCATAATTGCTATAACATTTCGGTCTATTGCATTAAAAACCTTCACAGCTAATCAATATCCTCTTTCCCTATTACTCAGAGGAAATATCCCTCAAAAAGGGAATTTTTTAGAGAGCTTCCAGGGTACAAGGGCTGGTCAGCTAACAGCCGCGTAGTAATAAAATGGAACATGAAAGAGTGCTGCGAGCAAGGAGCTTAGTTAGTTTCCTTACTAAATGTTTTGGTACCTTCTGATTATCTGCACCACTGGTTTCAACAGTCAGTAAAATGGCTGTGTTTTGGGCATAATTTTAAATAAAAACACAACAGCAACACACTCATACGCGTACCAGACACGCATTTGGGTATATATAGATTTTCACACTTTATATTTATTTAAAAGTTTTTCTCGCTTTGGGAATCATTGAAGAGATGATCAAAGTGAACTTATAGATTTGTTCACTTTCCTGTATGATGTAGTTCTGTGGGATTCGCACTTACTGTAGCTGTTATGATGAACTTTCTTCTTATTGCCTATGATGAACTTTCTTCTTATTGCCTATGATGTCTAGGCTCTTCTCTCCAACCTTAAGATTCTTTCCGCTGGATTTACTACGTCCTCAACATTCAATGCCATGTGCCCTATGGCAGTGGCGTAGCGAGGGGGGGCAAGGGATGATGCCTTGGGCGCCGCTCGCAGAGGGGCGCCAAATGGTCTCCAAACAAGATTTTCATCATATCACTGTTTTTTTTTTTTTTTTTTTTTTTTTTTTTTTTTTCGGGGAAGGGCAGGCGCTAAAAAGGTATTTTGCCCTGGGCGTCAGTTATGCTCGCTACTCCACTGCCCTATGGGCAGAACTCAGGAGCTGGAAACAGCGCGCTTCGCAATAACCTATTCGGATCGGATCGGATATTTATTTAAACTCATTCCCCATACGATAAATTGAAAAATATTGGCTAATGTTATTTCGGTGACTTTTAATTTTCCCAGAAAATGTCTTTTTTTTTTCCTTAAATAATTCTTTTTATTGTTATTTAGGAAGAAAAATATTTCACTGAACCCTAAAGACAGCAAACTTAGTTTTTCGCCAATTTATTAAGTTGCCATTGAGATGGAGAATTTTCGAGAGGGGGTGCGGATATAGTTTATTTAGAAGGAGTGAGGAGAGACGGGGATAACTTCTTTTCTAATATATAAAGTCAAATTCAGACGAATTAGAGCAAGAGCGTGTTGTTTGAAATTAATCAATTTCTTGACTTATTTAATAACTTCGGACGAATGATAATATATTTAGCAGAGAAACTTTTTAATTAACAACGAAGCATTTTATTTAGCATTCTCTAAACATTACAAAAAGAATAACATTCCATGCGTTATCACGCTCAAAGCAATATACAGTCAAAAGTCGTTAATCCGGACTCGTCGGGACTTCGGCGATTCCGGATTATCGATTTTTCCGGGTTATAGATCATCAGTTTAAATCTGGTAAGATGGCATGCAGAAATTACAAAATTAAAAATATGAAATCGTAATTTATGAAATAAAGAACAATTATGATCTAAAGGGTATCAAAATTTACAAAAAGAAAGAGCTTAATATTTATTTGTTTACTTTATTCAACATTTCTTTCAATGTAAGTTGTTTAAGTTGCTTCATTTCATGTGACAATAATTTCTCTTTAATTCTATTAAACAGACATAATTTCTTGTTTAGTTTCAAAGTTCCGCTGCTCAAGTCCTATAATTGCTGTGTCGAGAATACCGACTAATTTGTCAATCGAAATGTTTTCGTTTTCAATAACCTCTCTGTCACTTTCTTCACTATCAGAAGCGAATTATAATGACGAGGAACTTGATTTAAATCATATCAAAGACGGAGTACATCGAGATGAAATACTACATTTAGTAAGGAATTATAAGCCAAATAAAATAAAAACATCTGCCCTAAAGATAAGGATAGTGATGACAGATCAACTTCCAATTCATTGCGCGCCGCGGCTTTTCTGCCCCTCCCCTGCCGCAGAGCAGCGTGAAATTGATAAACAGATTTCGGATTTCAAAACATACTTTCGCTTTGTAGATCCTTTACATATTAGTAAATATATATCGGAAATTCTATTTGACATAATCGAAAGTTCCAGCTTAATTTTATAAAATTGCTCTAACAGTCTGCAAAAAATAATAAGCCGAATCCAATTCGAAGATTAAGGAACAACGCAATCTATAACATTAACTGAATTAGATAATTTTAGCTTAGCTTATACCGTCCGTTAAACATTAAACGCGCATACGTAAACGTATTATGCGCTTGCGCACACGCATATGCGCAGCCGTAAAGGTCTTACGCGCACGTGTAAACGCCTATGAATGCGAAGCATGCGCAGAAAGTTTGTAGCTTTGAGGTCCGGATTATAGATCATTACTGATTATGGGTGTCCGAATTAACGACTTTTGACTGTATAAAAAAATCACTGTTGCCACAAAAAATCTACATTATAATGAACATATATTAAATTATTGTGTATTAACTGAGTTCGTGCACGTTCCTGAACATCCTCCCACCTTGCAATTTTAGGAAATTGCAACATATTCTCTACTGTTCATAGTTCTGATTCTTCAGAGAGAGGCCATTTATCCGGCTCTTGTTTAAGCCAATCCGGCCACTCCCACTATCTGCTCTGTAGCAATATATTGGCATCGCACACTCTAGAGGAAAGATCAGTTGGATTGCTTGAGCTTGGTACATAATGCCAGTCTTCCGGATTTGTGCATCTCCTTATTTCAGCTACAAATTTGCCACAAAAACGCTCCAGTGGGAGTCTTTTTTGATCCATGTCAGAACTACAGACGAGTCACTCCAAAAGTACACTTGGCACTTTGTCAATTTAACAGCGTCAATGACTTGACGGTACAGCCGAGTAGCTATAAGTACTCCAAGCAACTCTAATATGGGAATAGTTACTTAACTGGCAGGGGTTATTTTGATTTACATAATACCAATTGTACTGAAGTTTTGCCCTCAAAATATGCACCCAATAAAATGCATGCTGCATAAGATACCTTACTAGCATCACTAAAACAATGTAGAGAGATGGAGCAGTCATCGAAGGGTCCAATCACAAGTCTTCTTGAAATTTTACAATAATTCAAGAAGTGTAGTCTTTTGAGCCAAGCCTGAAATTCTCTTTCTATACCTTGTGGAAGGTTTTCATCCCAGGAAAGTTTCATCTTCCATGTTTCTTGCAGAAGGAGTTTTGGAATTAACGTAGTTGGACTTGTAAATCCGATGGGGTCGAATATCCTCTGTGAGACTGACAGAAGAGATCGTTTCGTGTGGGCACTCTCCAAAAATGTCAAAGGGATTAAATTGCAATAAATTTCATCATTCTCGGTGTCCCATGAGAGTCCCAGAATTGGAATGATCTTCTGATAGGAAGTCATGCTTCTATCTTTGAATGGTGCAGCAGTACACCCTCTAAGGTCAAAACCTCCTGAAAACATTAGAGTTTGGGACTCTTCTTTGAACTTGACTACTTCTTCGGTTTCGAAACTAGCTATACAATAGTCGACATAAAAGGATTTCTACAATCTAAGTGCCGTTCCTTTCAAATCTCGTGGAGCATTATTCAAATGGTAAGAAATCCTTGCTCCCAACAGAAAGGGACTCTAGGAAATGCCGAACACGACACGACAGTGTCTGTAGGTAACAATGTCGGTTTTGTTTGAATCTTTCCACCACAGAAATTTCAAAAAGTATCTGTCTCTGGCACACAAATTGATTTGGAAGAATGCTTTCCTTATACCGGCAGTAACACCAATTGCATGTTGCTGGAATTGTATCAAAAGTTTTGGAAGCAATTTTATTAAATTCGGCCCCTTTTCGAGGCAAGCATTCAAGGAATTCCCATTTTCAGCCTTCAATGATGCATCGAATTCAGGTCGCACTTTCCTAGTCAGACTGGAATCCTTGATTACTGCTTGATGAGATAAATAGTGAGCAGTATCACTATTATTCGGAGCTATTTTAATTATACCTTCCTAGTACCAGCCTTTAATAATACCATCACATTTTTCGAAAAATCCCATCTTCTGCAGTCTTCATGTATTGGAGAAAAGTCTTTTTTCCACTTTATCTTTATTATCTTCAAGAATCCGATGACTATCCTTCCAAGGCAAGCAGACTTCATCCCTATTGCCCTCGATTACTTTTACATACACTACGATATTACAATGTTCTCTAGGAAACATTTGATCGTGTCAGTGTCTAAATTCTCCTTAATCTTCACTTCCGCTGGATCTTTTATGCCAATTGTCTCTAAATTCCATAGTTCTGTGAGATCCAAATAACAAAGTCCGACGGTATCAAGCAAAGTATTATGACTTTGCACTGGGCCTTGTAGGGTCCAGCCCAATTTTGTTTCAAGCGCAATAAGGTTTTTGTCGATTGGAATGATATTATTCGTCATCAACAGTCCGGAATAGTCGGCTCCTATTAACAATCCGATATCCGGTGTATCTCTGCCAGAATCATTGATTTTGATTTTATGTTCTCGAAGTGAGGAACATATATATTTGAGTGTCACTCTAGGAATGTATCCACAAATTTTGTCTTTATCTAAAACCGATAACTCGTATTTGAATTTATTTTCCGTTCCTTGCATTTCGATATCAAAAATACCATGGACCTGAGATTCAGTTTCAACTCCACCAAACAAATTGTGGCTCAAAATCTCTTGATCTAATGGGACTAAATCTAGTCTCTTTATTATGTATTTCCGTAAGTAAGATCTTTGGGACCCACAGTCAAAAAGCGTTCTCACAAGTTCCTTTTTTCCATTATGGACAATCTTCACCATAATAGTTTGGAGAAGAGTCGTTTGCAGTTTGTGGTTAGACAATAAAGTTTCACTCGTTTCGTTAGCTACTTTAGGTGCTTCGTTTTTTGAACTTTTAGAACCTTTTAGTTCTCTGCACATCACCGTTACATGATGTTTGTTGCAGAATAGGCATTTCACAGAACTTTTACACTTTTCGGCAGCATACCCAATTTTTTGGCAGTTAAAACAAGCTTTTTTTCTTTCTTAGTAAATTTTTCTTATCTTCCAATGAAAGGCTGTGCAGCTT